CAATCTAACTATAAAACGATAGAAGTCATTGCAATCTAATCTATACACGGCAAAAACTGTTACAATCTATTCGCAAAATATCCATACCATATGATCATATATGGCAAAATGAGACAAGCAAAATTATAATATCGTTAAATAGCTTAGTTTTGTATTAAGTATATATATATATATGATATATATATAAAATTTAGTACGTACGCGGTTACGTTTCATTAAGTTTTTATTATACATATAACTTTAACTACTTTCATGCTACGAAATAATTTTTAAAATACTCAATAAAAGGTGCGATAAACTATAACGATAATGCTGCTACGTAGAGATGAATTTGTGTCTTACCTTATCTTTTGAAACATGAAAAAAACAATAATACAAGATTATTAAGGAAGTTTCATCCATTAGGCAAAAATTTTTATATCCATTTGTAAAAAATGAGCCATTGTCACGATGAGCACGAATCGCATGAACACGATCATGATGGTCCAGATCGCGGAACTGAAACTTCCTTATACTCCTGTATAGACCGTGACAATATTCGTTGTCTAAATGAAAGTGCACCAGGTTCAGGAAAGAATGTCATAAAACCTTGGCACGAAAGAAATGATACAACTAAGGCTTGTATTAAATAATGATTGAGGCAAATACTTTCTTTGCAAATTAAAAACAATATTACACATTTACATTGTCAGTTTGTAGAAAGTGACGTCGACGAACAGTTGATTTTGTTCATCCCGTTAGTATACTGGTGATTTTCCTTTCTTTGATCAGATATCCTAACAATATTCTTTTTTAATTGCACTTGCAATAGTTTCACTGGTAGCGTTAAATTAAAATCAATCTCAATCAAATCTGGTCCTGGAGACAGCTGCCCTTCAAAAATGAAAGCGTATGTTTTTACTTTCTCTATTATGCCTACACATGCATGACTGATTTTATTTTCATATTCAGGTATATTAACCGTGAAGATATTGATTTTGACACCGTTGATTCTTATACTGCAACCCAGGAATGGGAATTAATTTCTAGCCCAGATAATATTGAATATATTACAAGGTAATTTATTTTTCATAATATTTTAATTTGAATAATGCAAATCTTTTTTTTCTTTTTTTTAAAAAAAAAAATGTATATATTTTGAACCGTTACTATACAAGGATGACAAAAATGTATAATGTAAGAAATTTGACTCTTTATTTTCCTGAAAACTTTGGCGATGATATAACGAGGATTTTTTACATTGGGCTTAAAGGAGAATGGACTGAGGTAAGAAGAAAATCCCACAGATTACGATCATACATGTACCGGGTGGGTGAAAAGTCTCTATACAGGTCCCCTTTTTTACTATCTCCGCTAAGATTTATTGTACTTAATTTTAAATACAATTTATATATAATATTGCAATAATTACTATTTTACTGATTAAAAAAAAAAGGGACCTGTATAGAGACTTTTCACCCACCCGGTATATATCCATCATGAAGAAGTAAAAAAAAGCAATTATCGATAAATTTTCTTAAAAAGACAAGTCGCATCTTGCAACTTACACACAAACCTTGTTAAACATGTACAGATTAAAAGTGATCAGATCATAACCATATATGAGGCGACACCTAACCCTGCAGACCATAAAAATCCAGCTGAGGATGAAAGAATTCACCACACCATCAATTGAAATTGTGGATCTTCGACATGGAGAATTATCCAAAGGCCATTTGGAACAATTGCTAGAAAAATCACCCTTCGAACTATTATTACACACGATTTTAATTAGAAAAATCATAAAATCTTTTTTAAAAAAAATTCCTATCAAAGGCACATGTCGATTCTTGGTGAAGACCATTGTTTTTTTGGTTCTGATTTAATCTATTAAAAATATATATATATTAGAATGTATCATGTGAATAGAGAAAGCTAAAACCATTATCTTTTTAGCCATAATCTCTCAAATGTTGTATTGCCTCTGCCGCACAAAATTTTCGAACCCGCTTACAAAAATAGAGGCCGGGCATTATATATTGATACCTGATTTAATTTGTCAATTATTAATTAATTTATCCAGTTTTAGGCCACAGTAGGAATTTACCAATCATATCGTGTCTAACAACATAAATAAAAATTTAAATTAAAAAAAATCAATGAGCAAAACACTTAACATTATCTCTTCTAGGTGGTGGAACGTATAAATTTGCTTGGCTATTTTGGGCACTGTTTCTATCAATCTTAGACCTCCCGTCACTGCCACCGTTACTCCCGTTATTGCGAACCACACCGGCAATTCTAGGGATGTCTTTACTGTTGACGACTTGGAATTTGGCCAGCACGAGTATTTTGAGAGGAATTGGATTTCTGAACCATTTATGATCGCAAATTTTCTACCATTTGCTTTTTATTCGTTAGAACCTCGGCTGAAGAATCAGCATCAACTGTTCGTTTTACTGGTGTCAATGTGGAAGCAACTACAGCATTTGGTATCGATGTACTCAGTTTGTGAAATTCAATGTTCTCACTGTTCTCAGAGAACATAAAAATGTTTTTGAGAACATTTTAACTTAAAAAATGTTCTCTTATTTGAGAACATTTTTGTTGAATATCGTGTTCTCAGTGAGAACATAAATTTATATACAATGTTCTCAAGAGAACATAATTATTAATTTATAGTTATCAAAAAATATAGATATTTGTTCATTTAACAAAAATTTACAATTGCTAAGAAATTATGCTAGGATTTTTCTTAATTAACCGGAACTAGGCAGTCCGTTGTTACGGTCGAGTGGGAGAGCTTTGGAATATTGGATCCGGTTTAGCTTCGATCGTGAACAAAATAGGTGTATAGATTTTACATATATCACGTGAGTGATATTTAAATAATAGGATTGTAAGTTTTAATGGTTTAATTTGAAATTATAAATCGACTTTGGGATTACAGTACAGGAGCGACCGTCGATGTTACACGACTGACTTTTCACCCGGTGTGCAACATATAAAAAAACTATTTTACAAT